ACTCAATTGCTATAAAGTACATTTCAAAATCCAGTTTCGTTTGGAATACAAATCCTTTGCTACAATTGTTAGTAAATTTGGAAAGTATATTTTTACTTTTGTGTACCCCTGGGTCACATGTATGAATATTAATCTTGAGTGTCAATATTGTAATACCATTGCCTTTGTGTACACCTGGGTCACATGTGTTATGATTAATCTTGGGTGTTAAGATTGTAATGCTTTTTTGTACCCCATTTTCATATTTGAATGGAAGTTTTTCTTTTACCTCATTTTGGTTGTTCTTTGTCTATTTGTTTGGTTGTGAGTATTGGGCTAGTGTGACATTGTTGCACTAATTGAGAAGCAGATTATTGTGGTGTAGTGGCATTCGTGTGTCTCTACATTGTATCAAAGCTACAAGGGTTGTTGTGATATTGTCTTGACTCCCTTGGTGAAGAAGATCAATTGTCATTTTGAAGATGGATTCAATTGTAAGGTTGAATGCTTTTATTATTGAGTTGAGAAGTCAACTCAAGGCGGTCCTTCTATTTCCCAATTCTTCTTAAAGATCAATAATATTTATTTAGAGATCCCTCGTTGATTTGGAAAAACCAATTTCGGCGGCATGAATGAGCAATGCATCATTCGTGGGTTAAAGAGTGAGTATATTCCCAATGTTACCTCTATTCAAGGGTGGGTTATGCAGCCCTTCTTGGTGGAACTTGAGAATTTCTTTGGTGGCTTGCTAAATGGCCGGATTTTCAATTTCAAAAAATGATGGAGATGATTGCGTATGCTTGGTATCCTTCTAGAAAATCACTTTAAGAGGGAGTGCTAAAATTGTTAAAGTGTATTTTCTAGAAACCATATTAGTTTTTATGTTGTTTTAGTATGGGTGATATAGTGAGGTTGTACTTGTAAAGTTATGTAGTAGGAAGATATGAAACTATTAGGTGGTTAGTAGTTGTTGCAAGTGGATAATTTTTGTAGTAAATATGGTTGTAAAAAACCTCTATTTAAATAGAGGTGTGTGGTGAGAAAGGTTAATATTGGGTGTCAAGATTGTAATGCCTTTGTGTACCCCGGGGTCACATTTTTTAAGTTAATCTTGGGTGTCAATATTGTGTCTTTGTGTACCCTTGGGTCACATGTCTGAAGGTTAATCTTGGGTATCAAGATTGTAATGCCTTTGTGTACCCAAGGGTCACATGTATTATAGTTAATCTTGGGTGTTAAGATTGTAATGCCTTTGTGTATCCCATTTTTCATCTTTGAATGTAAGTTTTTCTTCCACCTCATCTTGGTTATTCTTCTTCTATCTCTTTGGTTGTGAGTCTTGGGCTAGTATGACATTATTACACTAATTGAGAAGCGGATTATTCTGGTGTTGTGGCATTCATCTTTCTCTACAAATCAGGCCTAGTTCTGCACTCTTGAAAGGGGTCTTGTTTATGACAGTGCAATTCACATTTTAGACAAGTCCTATCATCTTTCATGACTGATCAGATTAATGAGGATCAAGATTTAAGAAAATGAAAAGTATGATCTCCCTTTCTCTTCAAGGCGTTTGATGTGAAAGAGCAATGAGAAGGGACCACTTTGTTGTTTGGGAACTTCTGAGATAGAGAAAAGGGAATGGCGATAGAGAGAGAAAGAGAGAGAGCAGACTACCCAAATCTCACCCCTTAAATTAGAGAGGGAGAGAAACCAAACTATCAACTTTGACTTATAGAGAGAGAGAGGAGAAATGATGAATATGACCTAACTCGAGAGGAGAAATGATGAATATGACCTAACTCTTATAGAGAGTAAACAAAACTCAAAAACCACTTGAGAGAGAGAAAGAAATGGCACCCCACTTGAGAGAGAGGCGAGTGAAAGCTTCTACTTATGGGGCTAGAGAGAGAGAGGAAGCAAAAATCAATACCCCACTTGAGAGAGAGCAAGAGAATTGCTTCTTCAATGAAATAGGGCAAGCTTCTTTAATGAAATATGAC